GCCTCAGCAGCGCACCGTCCAGCAGAGGATCGAAGACCGCCCACTCACCACGGACACGGCCAGATCTGCCACCACCTCTCGTCCTCCTCTTTCCTTCTCCGCATCGTCAACTCCTTTCCTCTCTTACCTATTGTCTTTTCCCACAAAGGATTGAACATTGTCCACTCACCACCAAAACATCCAGATCTGCCACAAGGGGCCCAGGGGGGGGGGGGGGGGGGGGGGGGGGGGGGGGGGGGGGGGGGGGGAGAGGGGGAGAGAGAGAGAGAGAGAGAGAGAGAGAGAGAGAGAGAGAGAGGCAAATGAAGCTGTCGCGGCTACACGGCTCCCTTCTTCGAGTTGCCATGGCCCCTCCTCTCTTCGAGATTGCTGCGCGTCTCCCTTTCCGCCCGCTGCATGGCCCCTTCCACTTCCACACATCCTGCATTTCACTTCCCGCACGCGCACACACACACACACACACGCTCTTGTGTAGTAGTGTATGATTCAATTTCTATCGGAAGCCTCGTTGTATTTTGCTCATCCTATCGCTGGAAGTAGCATGAGACCAGGCGGGGGGGTATAGGCCGCAAGACGCAACCTCCCCAGGCCGTGCCTGTTCGTGCCACCGACAGACACAATTTTCATTTTGCTTTTTTTTTCCGGCCTTGGCCCACCACCCAACATCCCAAACCTGGAAACCGGACCTCGTGCCGGCGTCACACGCGACCCGGCTTTTCCTTTAGTAGATGTAGATGACTGGAATCAAACTCGGATCGTGGAGAATTCGTTATAGTGCTTGCTGGGACTGAACTCTAGCTTGGTGTAATATGATTCGTTGGCACCACGCTTTTCAGACCTGTGGGACTTCGGGCAACTTTTCAACCCTGAGACCTGAGATCGGACCTAGCAGTATCTAGCTGCCATATCTTTGACTGCACAACTGTTAAAGGACTTCGGGCGACTTTTCAACCGTGGTTCGTGTGCAGAGTTGAGCTCATCATGAGATTGTTTTTTTTCTTGTTTTTTTTTTTGTTTTTTTTTTTTAACGTGGGGGACCAGTGCCCAAGGCTCAAATTACAAATTGAATACAAGATTGTTTTACGTTCTCCCAAGTAACAAATGCCATTTCCTTAAAGTAGCCTTTCTTGAACAGCTTTATGATTCTTTTTTTTTAACGTGGGGGCCCAGTGCCCAAGGATACAAGATTGTTTTACGTTCTCCCAAGTAACAAATGCCATTTCCTTCGAAGTTGCCTATCTTGAACAGCTTTATGATTGCTGCGATTGCAATCTCTGTGCCGTGTCAACTTGTGAATGCTTTCATGCACTCCCAAATTTTTCCGTTTCAACAGTGGTGTGTCGAGGCCCTATGTCGCGGTAGAATGAGAGCTGTATTTCATGTCATAGATTCTGCAGCCTGTTTTAACGATTCACAGTCACCTCCCATTTGCCACACGTCATCATCCTTCCATGCATCCGGAATTTTCATGGCCACTACCAGGCCTGCACTGCAACCCACTCACAGACGATTGAACAAAAGGGCCTACCGCTACTACCTACTACCTACTTAACCGACCAGGACATACAGGACGAACCATTATCTTCTTTGTTTTTTTTTTCAGAAACGGTGACAACCTTGAGATACTATCATCGAACTAACCGGTCCTACGTAATTCAGAATTGTAGTATTTCACTCGTCTGCTTCCAGCAGAGTTCGAACTCGGGCCTGTATTTCAACCGGTCAAGAGGCTAGCCATCTGAGCTCGTCCAGTAGGTAACTGGTACATTCTTCAGTCTTCACCGTTTTCCCGAGGTTGCAGAGAGCCACAAGATGGGATCGGTTCTTTAGATACCGAGAAGACTGAAATTCTTCCATGTTCATAACCAAACCACCAGTACGTGGTCCATACATCGACCCCGCAGGAAAAATAGAGTAGACACAATTCTACTAAGATAAACCGGCGGAGAAGGTATATATATATATATGGATGTCTATCTATATAATATGTCTATCTATAAAAAATAAATCAAATTCCAATTAATTCCTATTTCCTATTTTTGTATTATTCTATTTTTTCTTACAATACTATTGAATTGTATTATGGTATATTTACATTGATTCTATTCTAAATGATATTTGCTTTATATTATTATATTTATTAGATTAGTTAGCATAGACAGATAAATCTATTTAGATTCATCTATCTAGATTCTCTAAGTTCATATTATATTATCATTATCTAAGTTTGATTTTTCTTTATTTATATCTAATTGTATGATATTTCTTTGATTATTTAATTGTATATTCATTATAAGAATACGATATTTTATCGTATTCTTATAATGAATATACAATTAAATTACTCAATTGAAATGTATGTTTTTCGTTCATCATTGTCGCAGCTTGTTAACCGCCACAACTTTAGGTAGTACTGGTGATTTTAAACGCAAAAAAGAAAACACTCGAGCAGCACATCAGTTCTGATCTCGCTCCACTACCGTCCGCCATACACAATTTCGTAAACTCGCCCCATAGCTGTCAGAATGCAAAAAATGTATAAAACCTGGCGTCGCTCCACTTTCTATCTGCTATATGTAAGTCTCCAAGTCCTGAGTTCCCTGCAAAACACCCTTACAGCACTACAAGACAGCACAGCAATTTGTTGGCCCAGACTCCCTCCAGATGCACCATACAAATTCCCTGTAGAACTCCCAACCTCCTCCAACCACTCTCCGAGTAACGACTTTTGCAGGCTGTGAACTAACATGGGATCCCCTGGTGAATCTGGAGGGCGCCGTCCGACAACTAAATCAGATGTATCAGGTGATTAAACTGGTTGGGCTGGAAAGTGTTTTCTTCGTCATCACCCAGTCATAGTTGAAAAATTGGTTTGGATCTTCATTGGGCCGGTGGGTGTATGGGAACTGTGAATCAGTATTTGTTGTATAAAATGAACAGATCCGAATAGAGTACGAGAAGAAGGATCTCGCTCCGCTTACTGTCTGCTAGACAGAGCTGCTTCAAAGAGCCACCGCTCTGCCTCACCTCCAATTACCTCCCCCTTCGTCAGTATTTGCTCAATGCTGATCATGGGGACCAACAGCCTGCGCCAAACTTGCCCAGGACAGGAAGGTACACGAGGCCGCTGGATACATTCGGCTGTACTGTGAATCCACGCAGGGTGTAGTCCTCGTTCCACCACCCCCTCCAAGGCTTCACTGCACTGGATTTTTTCCACACTCATAACGCAGTCCGTAGGTGACCCACATACGCGTTGCGAACACCATATCTTTTTGTTTCTTTTCCCTTATACAGAAGCATGTATTGAGAGCAAAAATCTCCCCATTGTGAAAGCAGTCGACTCTCCAGCAGCCCATCTCGGACTGCCGACCTCCAGTACGCCAATCGTTTCAGTGTGTCGTCCCACCATGGTAGCGGGTCACTTACAACCCCAGAGAGACCCCTCTCGGTGTGCCCTCACACAATGGCAGCGTGCTACCTTTGAGGCCCCCAGAGACACCCGAAGTGAAACACAAGTCACAACACGCTTTTCTAGCAGCACTGCTATGTGCTCAAATGGATCCTTCCTTCGAGGCCCCAGAGACACCTGAAGTGTAACACAAGTCACAACATGGTTTTCTAGGAGTACTGCTACGTGCTCAAACGGATCTTTGATTGGTCTGATTTCATAGGGCTCGCCATAACACTGTGTTGCTACTCTTTCTTACCTGGCCTCGTCATTATCCTTTTTAGCAGAATAAAAAAAAGAAGAAAGAAATCAAAAAAAGAAGAAAGAATAAGAGGCCATCTGTTGATATCCTGGTATCTTAGGCATAGTGGAACCACACGAAGCACTGTCGAAGCACAACAGGCGCACGTCCATCTTGCACAGAACGTGGCAAGACACCAAACGTTACTATAAATAGTGATACATGCCATACCATTCTCAAAGCAGAACAGGCGCACGTCCATCTTGCACAGAATGTGGCAAGACACCAAACGTTAACTATTATCGCGATGTATGCCATGACACAAAACGTAACCATAACTATAAATCGCGATGTATGCCATACCACTGTCGAAGCACAACAGGTGCACGTCCATCTTGCACAGAAAGTGGCAAAAGACAAACGTCCATCTTGCACAGAACGTGGCAAGACACCAAACGTTGACTACAAATAGTGATGTATGTCATACCACCATCGAAGCACAACAGGCGCACACGTCCATCTTGCACAGAAAGTGGCAAGACACAAAACGTAACCACAAATGGTGACGCATGCATCTCGCCACATCTCATGAAAGACTGGTACTACGAACAGTGACGTATGCATCTTGCATCATTACCACGAAATACAGCAGTGGGAAGGCCCCCTGTAACCATCACTGTGTTAGCACGTCGCGATTCTTGTAATATCACAGAAATCATTGTAGAACAACAAAACTCATTTTGATATGATCGATATTCACTCCAAACACAGAACCAGATGTTCAAGGCACGCATGGGCCAACGCACATACTGCAGACCAAGCTACTACAGTCTTCCCCCGAATACAACGTACGGTCATTATAGCTGAATTTGGTGTATCTTTCAGTCTAAATTCAGCTATAATGACCGTACGTTGTATTCGGGGGAAGACTGTAATCGCATACTACATATAGGCCATGTACTGTTAGGCAAAATTTGGGAACCCGTGTATATCCACAAGAGCGGGCCGTTCCGATTTCCTTTTTTTTTCCCTGGGATGTGGAACTACAAGGGACTGCATCTTCTTTTGGTAAAGCGTGCAGACCTCGCCCAGATAGAAGAACTTGGGGAGGGACAGATCCCTACCTTGCACGGTGAAAGAAGGGCAGTTTTCTTTCTTCTTTTTCTTTTTTTTTTTTGGTATCCAGCGGCTAATACAATAGCGAACGAGGCGGCCACAATAAACGCAGCTCCCCCTTCGTGAAAGTTCTGCACAGGTAATATCTGCTTTTCCTTTCACGTTCCCAACGGGGAGCTTCCAGCTTTTTCGACTTTAAAAAGAATTTTATTTTCCAAAAGTCATGTAATAGATTGGGATCAGCCTCTAACAGCACAAACATGTAGAGTCGTAGACTGAAAGACTGACGGAGACGAGCAAGGACGACACTGACGGATAAGCTATTTCCCTAGTTCGGTATTAGCACCATATTATTAATTTATTACCCCCTTTTTCTAGCTTTCTTCCATTGAACCCAAACACACAACCAAACGATTGAGACCATGCATACTGCAAGACTAAAAGCACAAACATGCAGAGACTGACAAACTCTTCCATGGCGGACACGGCCGAAGTCCGACAGACACAGGCAAGACGGCCGCATTGCAGAAAAAGACATCAGCCGTGAAGCAGCAACAGACTATTCCTCACCAACCTACGGATTATTCTTAATCCAAGCTTCCGAAAGAATCCACATTGCAACGAGAAGAATCCACCTTGCAACTAGAATGGGCAAACCCAACGCGTAGGACCTGGTGCAAGGGCACCAGAGCAAAAAACAACCCAACAAAGTCCCAAGGCGGCAACCCAAAGAGCTACGAAATGATGCCAGCCTTTCTGTAACCAATCCTAGTACAAAGCACACTGTGGCGGACAAGATGAGAATCCATCGAGCAGCCTTAGAACCGGTGTGACGATACACCATGATGCCACCGTATGAGGTAGGTAGAAGTCGATCTGAATCTCTCACCAAACCGCTTCTGTCCGGAACGATTCTCCGGCCAGTCGGAAGTACACGTGGGAGACATTGACTAAAACAGGCAGATGCTACCCCACCAATCTAACATCACGTCAGAGCGTGTGCATCGCCCAATATCTGCTGGAGCGGCACCACTCAGCGTACAATGCATACACCCCAACATACATCAACTACACAAAGTGCCATCATAAGGGAGCATCCGAGAATAAGGACCTTCTGCTGAGCAGGGCCACCGTTCAGTCAGCAACGACATCTGCAGTGCTATACTGAAACCACGTCAGACTGCCAACTTTGTATTTCGCACTGCAGAACCGAAGCACACAAGGTAGACAAAAGACTCGTGAACTACACCGCGACCCACCAGCCTCCGTCACCTGAGCCGTTCGTTCTACAAGACTTAGGATTCACCCGCGGGTGTGCTCCACATGTAAATACGACCAAGTAACTTCGACCTGACACAACAAATCCCTCATAAAGAAAAGCCGCCACCATACCGCTCGACTCTAAACATACCCAGCTCAATCCAATCCACTGAAAAAAAAAGACAAGCTAGCCATAGCATAGAAACACTTCGGCGGAGCTCAGGAGCATCGTCTAGCACCGAAGATCTTCAAACTCTACCGTGGACGCATCACCGGTCCGGTCATTACTCAGACGCAAACACAGCTGCAGAGAGACCATCAAACTTTCCCACTCTCCCCCACGTGCGCAGGACTCTCGAGGCCAAACAACAGCCCGACAAATTGGTCGGCAACATTGCCTATATTCATAAAGAGAGGCCAAATCCACTCGCCTCCAACCAGAGATATAACCATTCCACTGATGAAACCCACTGAAACACCAATGTCCGCGCTGCATCCCTCCCACTGCCAGCATAGGACCAGACGATCCCGTGGCATGCAAGCACAGTCCCTAATAAATGGAACTCTCCTGCCCTCTCTCAAGATGGCAACACATGAAAGCAAAAGCAGCGGGCGCGCCTGCACCTCCCCATTTTTCTCTCTGCAACGAGTCTGCATCAGTCAACAAGAAAATTGACAGAAAGGGGGAGAAAATCACCCCCGTGCAACAGCGGGATCACTCTCCGGATCGTTGAAGACATAGAGCTGGTAGTCGGGATATCCGATCTTCTTCAAGGTCCTTTTCATGACCTTCATCATGATCGGAGGCCCACACATAATAATTCTGGAGTTGGAGTGAGGTGGCGGCATCCTCTCCCTGATTGCTTGCTCAGTGATAAAACCTCGCCCCATTGTCCATCGCCAAGGAGGCCTTTCCAGGAACATGTGTACATCGACGTTCTCACGAGTGGTGGCTATGTACATCAACTCCTCCTTGCAGAGTATGTCGTCTTCCTCTGCATTACCGTACAAGAGGGAAAGGTGTGTGCTGTCCGCGGGGTGCCGCGTAACCGTCCGTATGATCTGCATCATTGGTGAAATACCAGTCCCTCCTGCAATCATGCCCAGTTTTGAATACATGTTTGGCTCGTACATAAACCCGCCCAAAGGACCTGCAAAATCCAGCGTCTCACCCAAAGCCATCTTCATCATCTTGTCAGGCATCGAACCAGGCGCGATCATCGTGTGCTTGATGACCAGCTCAACATGGCCGTATTCGTCCGCCGGCGTCATCGGTGAATAATACTGAACCACGTCCTCTTCATCTTCCCTCTGCGCCCTATAACGTACCGCCAGGTATTGGCCACACAGGAGACCGAGCATGTGGTTCTTCGATGGCAGTGCATATTTCAGCACTGCACACGACTTGTTCGGCACGTACCGCTCAATAAGAGGCAGCGACTTGAACTCCGTTGGCAGCAATCCCGACTGCAGGAACGCACACCACAAAAACAGCAAGACTTCATCAGACATACCGTCACTGCATCCTCAAAGAGTATGTGCACCCTATCACCCAGAAACGAGCCGCGCAGACAATCAAAAATAAAAGGGACATGCGGTAGCACACACTATACACATCTCCTGCCTCCTCAACACATACAAACACCGGCAGCAGAAATTGACACAAAAACAGGCATGTCCGACTATATCGCAAGCTGTCTCATTGCAAACAGGCATGTCCTACGATATCGCAAGCTGTCTCATGGCAAATCAATGTCAGTCGAAGGCTACGAGCTGTGCTTTAGTTCGCACCCAAATAAGCCCTCACCGTGCATAGAATACCGCATACCCAGGTTCACACGCTCAGTCGTTACACCATTCCTACCACCCTTACACCATTATCAGATATTATATACACCAAAAAGACTAATTATATGCAAAAGGCTGGCCCCCAATATCAAGGTCCTGGATCACTACACTTACTGGATGTTCAACACCTGCCCTGTCCCTGTAAGAGTGCTGACGACGGATGAGTCCATGCGTGAACTTCTTGCTCTTCCATGCATTTACACCTGCGATTCTTCCATAGACGACGCACTCGAGGAGAGAGTTTCCAGCCAGCCTATTCCCACCGTGAAGACCACCTACAAAAGAAACGGCACGAACTCAGTAAGTAAGATGAACCAAACCCAGTCAAGCAATTCTCACGTACAGGAAGAGCTTTCAAACCGCATCAAAAGAACTCCGTTCCTCCAACCGTGCAATTGTTTACAAGTCCCTCCTTTCCTGCTTTCAAAAGGACTGCATCCACTGAAACAAGCTGCCAAGTGTACACAACGGAGGGAGAAGAGCTTTCAAAGTCCGACAATGCACAAACGGAGACGCACACTGATCCACCGGCCCAGACCAAGCTGCTCACCTGTCACCTCTCCTGCCCCAAAAAGCCCTGGAATTTTGTCACCATTGTCCTTGAGGATCTGGCCATTCGAATCGAACTTCAGTCCTCCCATCGTATAATGCAGCGACGGCGTGATGATTAGCACGTAAATGTGCTCCTTCGAGCTGCAGCCAAACAACAAAGACAGCACGTTTAAGCAACGTCACCGTCGGGGATACGAACAAGGCCAGCCCATTGCTCCATTCAAATCTGCCTTAATCTGCTATACAATAGACAAAACCCACGACACCGGGATGTGTTTTTTTAATAGAAAGACTCGGTCAACAGCAGTGTTCTTTTAATAGAAAGACTCTGTCAACAGCCGCCACTCTATTATTAACAACGCAGTAAAGGAACGTGGCCCAAGCAACGTGGCGCAAGAAGTTCCAATACCTGAACAGCGTCGGGAAAGTCTTCTTGCCAAATGGATCTTCCTTTACCCTGCCGTAGTTCTCGAGAGTTTCTGTCACTGCGTGCACTGGGAGAGCGAAGTCCTTTGCGAACGCGGCCGCATTTTCGAACTGCACACAAAAAAACAGCCGGAATGCATCCTCCTCAATACCGATGTCCAAAGAAACGAGCAGGCAAGACACCCGATGTCAAAGGGCGCAACCAGTCCAATAGAAGGATGCATCGTCTAGTCCTGACGCGGCAACTCATTAGAGAGACGCACAACCAGCCACACACACCAGACCCATCTGGGTCTTGCCACGCTTTGGCTACATCACAAAGAGAGCTGCAGGTGATGCAGGTGATCACTCGTCGCAGCATACATTCACAAACGAAAAACCACCCAGACAAGAAACCATCCCAACCTCCATACACGTGCGGGACCTCAGTAAAGACAAAAAACGAAAAGAGCAGACACAAGGTCACAGAAAGAGAACAATGACCATACCTTCCTAATGAGCCCCTTGCTAATGTAGAACTCCACAATCACTCTATCAAAAATCCCACCCCTCCATACACGGGCAGGAGCTCGGTAAAGAAAAAAAACGAAAAGAGCAAACACAAGGTCACAGAAAGAGAGCAATGACCATACCTTCCTGATGAGCCCCTTGCTAATGTAGAACTCCGCAATCGCTCTATCAAACTGGAACACACCATCCTCCGTAAGCACCATATACGCCGAAATCGGGAGACTCTTCAATGCATCCTCATCATAGAAGTGTTCAGAGACCACAACCCCGTTGATCGAACCACCAGCATTTCGCACAAGCTCGATTGGCAGGTGCTCACAGTTTTCCATGATTGCTTTCGTTGCCTGCAGACGAGTTGGCATTTGAACAGGACGGTGGTCAGTTCCACTACACGCCAGATCAAGACAGACTCCCTAAAACCACAATCCCATTCGTGACCAACGCCCAGAGAATATGTGATGCGCCCTCAGCATTTCTTCCCAATGAGATAACGATGAGAGAATGGGAGAACCTCACAAAGAGGAGAGTATTCCAAACTAGTTCATTTTTTCATATCCCAGTTTCATTACGGATCACAAGAAGAGCACACTTCCCCTCACGACATAGAAAACCAATTGCAGTTGTGTTCGCAGAAGCTAGAGATGGCCGGAGGAGATCAACAGGTACATACCGCATCACGGGTTGTGAGCTCGTTGACAAATCGCTCCCCTTTCTGATTCAGCAATATGCCACCACACCCTCGAAGTGCCTCCGGCGCCAGGAACTTGGTCGGATTAGTAGGATCCGCCGGATCAACAAAACCGGTAGGATGGAGTTGAACCTGCAGTAGTCATAAGACACACAACAGCAATGTCATTCTTGGCCCTCACTGACAACCTAAAGCAATCGCAATGGAGGACGGCCATATGCTTATAAGTGGGCAACCACAGATTCACCAGAATTCACTACGTTCTTCATCCAGATCGAATGCCCTGTCATTATATAACCGTATTTGCAGCAACATTCAGACCACATGC